TGCGAATCTTCCACAATATCTTTGGGCTGAAGCAATATCCACTACATGTTTTACTCAGAATAGATCTTTCATCCATCGTCGTTTTAACATTACTCCATATGAAATAATCAATAACAGAAACCTAATGTGAAATTTTTCCATGTTTTCGGATGCAGGTGCTTTATTATGAATCTTAAGGATAATCTTTCGAAATTTCAAGTGAAAGCTGGTGAAGGGATTTCCTTGGATATTCGCATAATTCAGTTGCCTATCGAGTGCTCAACAAAAGAACTCGAAAAGTCGAAGAAACATTCAATCTTAAATTTGATGATTATTATATCAAACAATCTGAAAAACATTTTGAAAATCATCCTATTTTGCAAGAAATTCCTGCTGAATCTGAATTTATACAATCATTGGATATTGATTATGATTTTATTTTTGGAAATTTAGATTATGCTGAAAATACTGAAATCAACGCTCCTGATAATCATATCCCTGAAATTTCAAAGTTAACTGATGATTCAACATCATCTCCTCAAGAATTGGGCGAAAGTATGCATAATGATCCAGTAGAGCGGGAGCACTTGGATTCGAACACTCTGATGGAGGGGGGGCATTATTTCGAAGGGGAGAATGAGAGAGTAAATGATGATGTTGAGGGGGAGCGATTAAATGATAATATTGTGGGGGAGTTAAATCAAAATAATGATACTTATCATGATACTAATGATGTTTGTTCGATTGTAGGATCCGGAAATGATGAATTGTACAAAGACGCACCTTTGGACTTCGACCCAGCTTATCCACCAATGGACAAATGGATAAAAGATCGTCCAAAGGAGCAAATAATTGGTAATCCACAAGAAGGAGTTTTAACAAGAGCTCAAATTCGTGCGAATAATGAGGTATTAAATGTTCATCAAGAATTATGCATGTTCAATGTTTTTATCTCTAAAATTGAACCAAAAACAGTGAAGATTGCAATGGAACACTCAGATTGGGTTGTTGCAATGCAATCTGAATTGTCTGAATTTGAACAAAATAAAGTTTGGAGATTAATTTATATGCCAAATGATGTTTTGATTGTCAAATTAAAATGGATTTTCAAAAATAAAACTGACAAAGATGGAAACATTGTACGAAACAAAGCCAACTTGTTGTTAAAGGGTACTCTCAACAAAAAGGATTTGATTACGAAGAAACTTTTGCCCCTGTCGTAAGACTCGAGGCGGTTCGTATATTTTTGGCTTATGCAGCTCAAAAAGATTTTGATGTGTATCAAATGGATGTGAAGTGTGAATTTCTGAATGGAGAACTCGAAGAAACAGTTTATGTGGAACAACCTCCAGGTTTTGTAAACGAAGAACATCCTGATAATGTTTATATCTTAGATAAGGCAGTTTATGGTTTGAAACAAGCACCATAAGCCTGGTATGCAACCCTTACTTCATTTTTGAAACAATCTAAATTTAAACAAGGATCATTTGACCCCACATTATTTCGTAAGAAAGTTAGGAATCATCTAATGCTTGTTCAAATTTATGTTGATGATATTATTTTTGGCTCAACTGACCCTGCTTTGTCTAAAGAATTCGAAGATCTGATGAAAAGTAAGTTCGAAATGAGCATGATGGGAAAAATTAATAATTTTCTTGGTTTAAACATTCGTTAAAACAGAGAAGGAATCTTCATAAATCAAGAAACATATATGAAGAATTTGCTCGGAAAGTTTGGATTGACGAATAGCACAAAATTATGTGTTCCAATGGCAATTCGCATCAAACTAACTCCTTCGTTAGATAAACCTGCTGTTGATCTTACATTATACAGAAGCATGATTGGATCTTTACTTTATTTAACTGCTAGTCGACCTGATATCATGTTTTCTGTATGTAATTGTGCTAGGTATCAATCAAATCCACGAGGACCACAGCTCACTGCTGTAAAGAATATCTTTCGTTATCTCAAAGGAACATCTTCACTTGGGTTGTAGTATCCGTCGAATACTGGGTTGTTTGTTCAAGCATATTCAGATGCAAATTTGGGAGGTTGTAATCTTGATAGGAAGAGTACAAGTGGTGGTTGCCAATTGCTTGATGGTAAGTTGGTAAGCTGGCAATCGAAAAAGCAAACATGTGTTTCAGTCTCAACAGCTGAAGCTGAATATGTTGTTGTTGCTGCATGCATGTCATAGATTATATGGATTCAAAATCAATTACATGATTATGCAATTAAAATGAAAAAGATTCCTTTATATTGTGATTTACAAAGTGAAATAAGAATTTGTCATAATCATGTGCAGCATCCGAAGACTAAACATATTGCTCTTCGTTATCACTTCATCAAAGATCATGTAGAGGATGGAAATATTGAAGTACATTTCGTGAAAACAACTGATCAATTAGCTGATATTTTCACGAAAGCTTTGGATGAAAAATCATTTGTCTGAATTTTGGAAGGACTTGGAATGATTGATGGAAATTTGATTCCATGCGAAAAAGGAGAATGAAGTTTCAAGAATTTATTCAGCAACACCTCATCAAAGGATAAGGTTACTGTTCATAATTAACTCTTCGAACACTTCATATTCGTATGATTTGTATTTTCATAGCATGATCAAACTTTGAATGTTTGCAACGAGTACTTTTATTTGTTTTTCTTTTATTTTTGAAAAATCAAAAACTTCAAAAAGATTTTCTTATTGTTTTGTTCTTTAATTTTTGAAAAATCAAAAACAACAAAAAAAAATTTGTTTCTTATTTCTTTTTACGTACTAAGTTGTAGAGATTCATGAAGATACGAAGAAGTTATTGTTTTCAGATTCAAGGATAAGTACATCCATCTTTCTAATCTTTGAATTTCAAATATATTTTTTGTGGAACTCGTTAAGATGTCTCCAGAAGCATGCTGCTGCAGTTTGTCAAAAGCCTCAAAATGACTCAATGTTCGAAAGCCTTAATGAAATTTTTTATACGAAGATTTCTCCCCAAATAGGCTTACATTCACATTAGTCCAATGAGCTACCTTACTCTTCTCACATGAGTTAAGAGTTTTTTGTTTGGTCCAAAATAACAGAGGTACATCATTCTTCGAATACGAATCTTTTTCATCTCAAAATTCTTACAATATCACACACGAAGACATATACCCAAGAGGTTTCTGATCAAAACCAATAGAAACCTAGATATATCACAAATCTGTGTTTATGATCAGACATCATGAGACCGTGATGGACGTGAAACCCTATTTACTTACACTTTAATGAATTGACGGGGAACTACGTTCCAAAATTTAACGAAACATTTGTTTCTGTACCTACATTCGAAACTCCAAGTCATATTCATTTCTTTTGAATGGTCTTGATCAAACATTCGAAACCCACAATGTTTGTTACCCAACAGGATCCAGTATAAATTTTTTTTGTTTGAATATGATTTCAGTGTGATTTTCTCAGAAATTCCAAGTTACTTAAAATTTTTCAAAACAAACTTATCACTGACTACAATGGTCAAACATGTAATTTCATTTACAATTGCTCACCTTATGTTTAGGATGATATGTAACCATATTCATATGCCAGCCATTGAAATATAGAAGAGGAAGCCCTTCAATACTTATTTACAAGTATTCAATTGTAAGTCACAGGAGACTACACAAGCTGTTTATTATATCTCTTGATAATTAGCGAAGCAATCTTTGCCTGGGATTTTATCTGCCTTTGTGTCAAATTGTATTTTTGACATCACCAAATATCCAAAAGTTTTTTTTTTAAAAATTTGCTTCTTATCTTAATTCTTTGACACATTTCACACACGAAATCCTTGAGGTTCTGAGTAACACCAAATCAGGATGATGATTTCAAAAATCTGGCAAATGACTTTACTTCGAAACCCCAAAGTAAAAGTGCCTAACCTCCATCCGAAGGGTTCTGACGATTGCAATTCTATTGGGGCAACCAATACAGCCTGGTTGAGGAGACGTTTTGTATCCCTTCCGGTTTTCAAGGCGATGGGATAGTTACTTTTTGATGCATGGTTACTTTATCATCATCATGACGAGGTTTTCTTGGTGACACGTCAGCCAACATTAAATGCACATCCCGCTTTGATTTCAAATTCAAGAGTTACATATAAAAAGGGATTCAAGGGTTCATTATCAATTTACGCTTTCATATTCCCAAATACTCTCTGATAAACATCTGCTTTCAAACCCTAACAATGGCGACTGCTAATCCTGATGCAACTCTTTCTCAGACCACCGATGATGCTACTTCCTTACCGATCATGAAGATTCAGGGTACAAATTACCAAGTGGAATCAAATGTTTCTCTTTATCCAGAAGAACTCAGAATGCTTATTGTTGCTCTACAAAATTCAGTGTGGTCCAAGGCTATCTTTAACTCATTCTCAGTTCCTCTTTCATGGTTGTCTCAAGTTGGATCAACTGCTACATGTTCAAAATCCTTGGAAGTTGTTACATTCAACCTTGTGAATGATAAAAACGTTAGACTTACAAAGAATCTTTTCTGCCAAATCCTTAAAATACCTAATTCTCCGCCATACGTCACTTTTACCTTCCGAAAAATCATTCACATATTTAATGAAATGGGTCATCAACCCCAATTGGCAAAGATAAGTGATTTCAAGAAGTCGGGGGTACCAAGTGTTTGGAACTTTTTGTTTGGCATTTTTATCCGATGTTTAACTGGGAGAACAGTCGGGTTAGATAAGGGGAGGATGGAAGTTTATGCCATGGTTGCAGGCTTGTACTACGATCTTCTAGTTGATTATTCAACACAGTTGTGGAAGGAGTTCCAGAAAAGTATTGAAAACACGAATATTATTCATGGCATTTCGTGTGCTCGATATTGGAGTGTAATTTTGCAATATTTTTATGATAAGGAAGGGATTTTAGTTCCAGCAAATGAAGAAAAGGTTGTGTTCCATATCTATAGTTGTCCGAAGGATGCAACAGATGACTCAGATGAATTTTCGTTTGTTTCTCGTATCCCAGATGCCATGCTTAAAAGAGTTGATCCTACAAACCCAGTGTTGATCACTTACTTGAAAACCATAGATACTTCTGTGGAAACTAGTGTTCTTTTGGCAAGAGAAGAAGAGAAGAAGTCTAAGAGATCAAAGAAGACTGCTGTTGGGTCTTCTGATACGAAAGTTAAGCCATCCAGATCCTCCAAGAGTCCAAAGAAGGTACCAATTACCGAAGTTGAGCCAATTCAACCTGAACCTATTGTTGCTGATACCCAGTTAACCCAAAAAGAAGTCATTCCTTCGAAGACTGGTGTTTTTAGAAGAATAAAGATGAAGTCGAAAGACAAGATTCGCTCACCTATTACGAATGTTATTCATAAACCCCAAGTTTCGCATCAAGGGGTCATTTTTCGTGAAATACCTGCCCCTGCTTCACCGTCTTCTAAAAAGCGAATGGCAACTGATATAGCGAAACACATATCAAAGAAGAAGAAGGGTAGGGTGATTATTTCATCGGAATCTACAACAGATGATAGTAAAACAATTTCAGAGACACCAGAAGTAGTTCTTATAAAAGATTCTTCTGATGTTGATACTAGTTATTGTACCACCCGAAGTTTCGATTGGCAAGACAATTTCTGTGGAGGCACATCAGATGAAAGATTGAGCATCACAGTTATTAATTAGGATGGAAAGTTATTGTATGGAATCATTGTTCAAGCCCTATTTTGTTGATGATTTTGGGACGTAATCATCCTAAGGGGAAGATAATTGTAACGCCCGTAGATTAGGGCTAGTCAATTTAGAGACGATAAGCATCAACAAAATGAATTTTAAATGGAATATTATTTAGAATGAATAATTTTAACTAAGTTTTATTATGTGTTACAAGGATTCCGTACATATAAAGAACGCCGAAATTCGAGTTATAACGAAGAAGTTATGACCTGTCGAAGTTTCGCGACAAAACCGGCACGACACAGCGCGACGTAAAAAGTGAATTTATATTAGAGCGATATTTAGCCTTAGCGACCTAAATGAAAGTTGTATAATACGTTAAACCGTGAGCGTGCATAAAAAGAACGTCCAAATCTGACTTCGTATGAGGAAGTTATGATTTTTCTAAGTTTCAACTTAGCGTTATACAGTCCGAATACTAGATTTGAGATCGAGCGGTTTAGCCAAAACAATCTAAACAAGAATCAAAGATCTCGTTAATTGTAGTAAAACGATAAAAACATAGGAGAAAACAGACGTCAGATGAAGAAGTTATGAATTTATAACGGAATTTTCCTGTCCCGGCCTACTAAAAATAAATAAAAATAAATAAATTCAAAATTAGCCGACGGAGTCTAAATGAAAGTTGTAGAGCATAGTCTCACCTACGCGGGGATATAAAAAATGTCGAAAACGGAGCTCGTAAGAGGGATATATGAATTTTTGAAGTTTATTAAATAATTAAAATATTAAATTTAATTATAAATTTTCGATATTATCCAAAGGGGGGGAGTCAGCGATCTTATCCGAGTTACGCCCAGCGTAACTAGGATTTACGCCCAGTGTAAATCGTGAATCCAGACCCTATATAAAGGGTGCGAGGCTTCCTTATTCCTTTGCTCATTTTCTCTTCTCTCTCTCCCGTTTTTCCTTGATTTTCGTGCAAGAAATATCCCGAAGCCCCGGTATCATTCTCGAGCCTCGAAGCGAGTCCCGAGGCCCCGAAGATCTCGAGAAGTGAAATTCCCGAGCCGAAGCTCTGTGCGTGAGGAGCCTGATTTTTGTGAAGATCTTCCAGATCTACAGAAGAATACTACTTCTACAAGTCGTAGTGTTGTCCAAGCATCGTCTAATCAAGTGAGTGTGTAGTTACTTTCTTTTAACACATAAATATGAAGTATTTGCTATAAAATACGTGCTATGTGTTTGTATATTATTTGTCTATTTGAGATGGGCGTGGAATTGATGTTTTATACAGGTGATAAATGATTTAAACTGTGTAAGTATTTATATCTACGAAAATGTTGGGTAGAACATGGGTAGATGGGATAGTTGGTGACTATGGAGTTAGCACCTATTGTATAAACCTTGGCGACGATGTGACTTAATGCCTATTTGATGAACCTTGGCGACTATGGAGTTAGCGCACGTTGAGTAAACCTTGGCGACTATGGAGTTAGCGTTTGTTGAGTAAACCTTGGCGACTATGGAGTTAGAACTTGTTAAGTGAACCTTGGTGACTATGGAGTTTGCGCCTGATAGTTATGGATTTATTACCTGATAAATAAACTTTGGCAGCAATGGACTTCGTGCCAATTCCTTAGGAATAAATGAATGAAGGATAGTTGGTTCTTAGGGTAAAACCTTAAGAAGATAATGGGGATGGGTAATTGGGTTGATTGTTTGCTGATAAATATAATAATTATATTATTGTGAGTTGAAAACCCTTTATGCTCACCAGGCTCCCAAGCCTAACCCACTCAGTTCTCTGTTCATTACAGGTAATGGCACAAGGGTATAAGTTGGTGGACTTGACGAGAGATTTTGGATTATAGATCAGTAGTTATAAATAACTATTGTAAGATCTATTTTATATTGTTTATGCTTCTGGTCTGTATTGGAACATGACATCCCGAGGTTTTATTATTTAATGAAAATACATTTTCTTTAATAAATACGTTTGATAAATTATTATCATAGTTTGTTTTGGGAACAAATTCCGCAACAGTTTTCTTTAAACGATCACTCTGATTTTTAAAAGAAAGCATAAACAAATCGGTCTTTTCTGGCCGTGAAATTGGGGATGTCACAGCAAGTCCCCGATTTTCCCCTTTCGAGTTATGCTGATCGGGATCATTGAGCCATAGGTGGACTCAATGAGTCGAAAGTCAGACCCAATAATGGAGGGACTCAGCGAGTCAGTTCCCTCACTCGATGAGTCCAAGGCAATCTTCTTGCCTCAAGAACATACTCAACGAGTTGTTCATACAACTCGGCGAGTCACAATCTAGAGTGTTCATCAGATGAAGATGAACTCAACGAGTTGTTCATACAACTCGGCGAGTCGGATGAGGATCATTGGACATCAGTTTAGAAGGAGAACTCGTCAAGTCGTCGCCTAACTCAACGAGTACAGTCGGATATGAGGGCAAATGTGAAGGATAGGGACTCGACGAGTTGGCGAGCCAACTCGGCGAGTCAGGTAGTTGACTTTTACTTTGACTTTGACTTGGTCAGGGGTAAAATGGTCATTTTACCCCAAGGGAAGTTAGCAGTGTTTGATTGAGTGTTTTGTGGGAAATTACAGCCGGAGGATTTCCGGAACAGCAGTAGCAGCAGCAGATAGGCAGTTCCCACGCAGATCAGCAACTACTACGAGGTGAGTTACCTTCCAATAGCGGTGGGTCTACAACCACAATGTCGGCCCATCAGTAGGAGTTGTATTATTAGATGATTGTCTCCGTGATATTCATCTAGGTTTGCTACTACCGGATATGTTTATGTGCTAGTATGATATGATGCTATGTGCTAGTGACAGTAGGGGAGATAGTCCCCAGATTACCGGTCAATAGGGGCCAAAGGGGTAGTCATGGCCCAACCATGCTAGATAGATTATGTGATATGAGTTATGTGGTAGTAGTAGGGGGTGAAATAGTCCACATTATCCGGTTAAGAGGACCGAAAGGGAGACCAGCACCCAAATATGCTAGTCAGTATCCGGTCGAGAGGACTGAAGGGGAGGCCAGCACCCAGATTTGCTAGCCATTATCCGGTTGAGAGGACCGAAGGGGTAGGTCGGGCACCCAGATATGTCTAACAATATATATACGTTAGGTGATTATATGGTATGTGGTACAGTGTGGGAACTCACAAAGCTTCGTGCTTACATTTTATAGTTTTGGTTTCAGGTACCTCTTCGTCGAAGGGGAAGGAGCTGGAGCGGTAGCAGTACATCATGCACATACTGTTCCACATTTATGGAATGTCCTGGGATTTATACTCTGATATTTTGATTGATTACATGTTTTGGTTTTCAGACATGGTATTTGTTTATGAAATGGGTTGATCAAAAAATGTTTATTTACAAATGATTTTACTAAGTATTGTTTGAAAACTGAAATTTTTGGATGTGAAAAATGGGTTGTTACACATCACCTACAATAAGAATAGCATCAATCGAATCGATCTTATCTTGTAACAATTTTATTTTACCATCCATATGAACCCAAATAGAAGAGCACCAAACCCTAAGATTAGATTTAAGCAACTAGAGTTTCTTCTTTAAAATAACCCAGGTGTCACACCCCGAAAACCGAAGGCGGAAACATTTCCGGGGTTGACTCCACGTAGAGTATCAAATCCAATGTACATAGTAAGTAAAGTAAATCAACCATTACATTACATATATGAAAGTTTTACATTTGTTTCAAAAGCATATGTTATACAAGTGATACATAGTATATATGAACAATACAAAATGAGTCTTCTGAGAACTCCGTCTTCACACAAATGGATCTTCAGGTACCTGTCTAACATGGACCTGAGAATACAAGCGGTTTGAAAATCAGCATAAAGCTGGTGAGTTCATAAGCGGTTAGTTTTTCTGAAAATGTACGAGTTCCTTTGCTTTCCTGAAAAGTGGTTATCCAAGAAAATCCCATATTTTCTTATGTAAAGTTAGTTTCCAAATCCGAAAGTAAAGTAAACGATGTTTAATTAAAACATGATTGTTCTTGTGAAATGTAATTCAGTTGTTTAACTTATTACACTTCTCTAATTTCGTACTACTATTACTCAGGAAGAACCCCATGTTCTCCTGACTGTGTGTGTGTAACTGTTACTAGTTTCTGACTATGTTGGTGTCCTTCCCAGGAAAACCCCATGTTTCCCTGACTGTGTGTATCTTTACAGTTTTGTTTATGTTGTGTTCTCCAGGAAAACCTCATGTTTCCCTTACTGTGTGTGTGTGTGTCTTTACTAGTTATGGTTAGGTTCAGTGTTCTCCCCAGGAAAACCCCATGTTCTCCTGACTGTGTGTGTGTGTGTCTTTACTGGTTATGGTTATGTTTAGTGTTCTTCCTAGGAAAACCCCATGTTTTCCTGACTGTGTGTGTATCTGCAATCCTAAATGTACATTAGCTTTACTACGTACATAAAGCTAGTAAATGAGTCTGAAACGTTAATAATCTAGATTGCGAGTCCTTAACCATACTTAGACTGGATATGACTCGACCATGGTCAGTATCCTATTTATGACTTTTGTCACCCTTGAACCATTCGGTTCGGCTGTAGCTAGCAGCCAGGTGTGGGATTATCAGTCCCGTATAGATCTATACACTCAAGCTACGCTCTCCTACGAACGGAGATTCTGGTTACAGGGTTAGTCCTCCACTATCTCGTGCCATGGAAGTGTTACAAGGATGTGTCTCCAATCATTAAGATTACTCTTTACTTTTCGACTAGGAAAGTAGTATTTACAACTGACTATATTCTACGTACCTGTCCTTTACACTCGAGCCTAGGTGTTTTATTAAGGACATTACACTCGAGCCTAGGTGTTATTTAATGATGGCTGTCCTTTTACACTCGACCTAGGTGTATATTAAGGACATTACACTCGAACCTAGGTGTTATTTAATGATTATGGTCCTTTACACTCGATCCTAGGTGTTTATTAAGGACATTACAGT